CGTCTCAGACAACGTTGATGACTGTAAACCATTCACGCTCTTCTCAGCGGAACTTTCCATGCCGGGAGGCCACGAAGATGCAAGAGCTTTGACGGAACAAGAACGATACTCAGGAAAACAAGGTCATACCAGATCCATGTGACAACCACAACTAAATATTATACGAGCGCCTCTGTCAATTTGTTTCCGATAACAATATTTAGAAAAACACTCACACAACATACTGACATAAACAAAACTGCTGCCATAAAATGAGTGAGTGAGTTTAGTTTTACGCCGCACTCAGCAATATCCCAGCTATATGGCGGCGGTCTGTAAATAATCGAGTCTGGACCAGACAGTCCAGCGATCAACAGCATGAGCATCGATCTGCGCAATTGGGAACCGATGACATGTGTCAACCAAGTCAGCGAGCCTGACCACCCGATCCCGTTAGTCGCCTTTTATGACAACAATGGGTTGCTGAAGACCTATGCTACCCCGGATCTTCACGGGTCGCTGCCATATAACACAGTCAATGCAATAATGTGTTACAATCTCATTTGTGTAGTTATTACTTCTAGATAGATATAATACACTAGATAACCGACGGTTTGTCCCTTCTTCAGCACCGATTCGGAGCAGTGGAGTAGCCTAAAGGTTCGGCTACCCCACCGGGTACAATTTGTGAAGCCCATTTCCGGTGTCCCCAGTCGTGATATTGCTGGAATATTGCTAAAAGCGGCGTAAATCCATACTCACCCCACTCAGCACCGAATCATTGTTTCAATACAAATAGGATTTCGAGGACTTATATATCGGCTTGTGTTAAAATAACGAGTGCGTTTAACCGTATTGCTTATTTTTCTTTTGTTTTTGTTTTGTCATCCCAGATAACGAACATTTGTCTGATCAGATAGGTACTATACAAACGTCAAGGGTGGTTGGTGATGCTATCTTCACGTAGGCGTTCATGTTGTTACTGAATTTCCAGAACACATACAGTGAGCGAGTACGGTTTTGCTCCGCCTGTAGCAATATACCAGAGATATCACGATGGAGCAGTGTCCGAAATAGTTTCCAAATTTTGTTCATCTCAATTATGAGCTAATTCCCCAGTCGACCATATGAACGCGTTGACAATAATAAGCTTAATTCGTGCCACTGAAAACGACAATGTTTCTGACACTCAGCAATATGCCAGCTATATGGAGGTCGTCTGTAAATAATCAATGCTGGACCAGACAGTCCAGTGATCAACAGCATGAGCATCAACTATCGGTCAAAGAGTACACCCAGTTACACTGAGAAAATGACGGCTAAGTTTTACATTTCTAGATAATGATACCATAAATGCTTAAAATATGTACAGTGTACAACTGCCATGGAATTTGAATGATTTTATTCCACTTGCGTCAATATTCCAACCAGTTCACAGCAGAGAACAGACATGGATACATTGTACTGAGGACTGAACTATACATTTACCTAAGGGCAGCATTTTATTTTTTGTGTTTCTCATCGCCCGACCGACCCTTCTAATCTTATTGAACTTCTTTCCAGAGGTGAGTGATGAAGTCTTGATCGACAGTTTCTTAAAACGTCCCTTTTGTAAGTGGAGTAGGCAAGGATTTGGTGCGTCCAACTCACTTGAGCATACTTGAGCTACATCAGTGGAGGTAATACCTAACTCTACGGAGTGCCCATGGGTAATCCCACTCAAAACAGGAACTAGACCATCAATTTAGTGTTTACACTTCATCTGTATCAAGACACATAATCGAACCAGCTGAGGGAAGTGTGTTTTAATACAGAAATCTTCTCGGTCCGAGTTCGTTTTCATAGCCTACCACTTAGTGGGTAAATCAATTCTATTTGGTACCAATCCCGGTTCACCATTCCGTATTTTCCCGGATCAGGAATATTATTTATCTTATTTTCAACATCGATCATTGCTGCCTTCTACCTCAGATAGACTTGGTGGCTGCGACAATGTCGGGAGAATAACGGTTGACGGTGCACTGGAAAGGAGGTAGTTTTGTTCCTGGTCAAAGGGAGACAACCCAAATAATCGTTTCGCAAATTCATCTCAGGATTTGGGAGTGGACACAGATGCGGCTTTACAGACCGTGCACCAACAATCCCATTATCACACAGGTTGAGCTGTTCATGCTTGCAACATATATAAATCCACTTGGTTGGGGACGTCGTGTTGTTAATGGTCAAAGGGAAGTAACCATAAGTCCTATTTTATTTGCGGGGACAGAATTACTCCCCTTGAGGATAAGGGACATAACTCGCATTGTTTATACGGTTATCTCCCTTTCATTGAAGAACAGGCATTGTGTGAAGTTTAAAGTGCAACACTGTGCGGAGTTATGACAAACACGATTACCCCCCTTTGACCATAAACAGATCCACTCCCACCTACGATTATAGTTTGTTTATTATTTTGTTTTGTTTTGTTTTGTTTTTTAGACAAAGACAAGTCTATTATAGTAGAATAATAACCGCACAGAGGAAGTAGAACACGCTGAGGTTTAATTATGGCGTTGATTTAATACAATATTGTTTGAATCCATAAATAAGCCTTTACGGGGTTATCTCCCATTGACTGCAAACTTCATTGGTGGCCAGAATATGTTCACAAAGGCAGTAGTATTATACCACATCCATTAACGAAACTATCAGCTAAACACCCTCTTGGTACGCGGGATTCGAGTGTCTGTTTAGAGATATGTGAAATACACGTGACGAAAAATATCATTTTGATAGAATAGACATGCATGTAAATAAATCTTTATATATTTTGTTTTGTCCACATATTTGTCGGTAGGTTTATCTCAAAATGTGCCCTTTTACAATTCTCACCAACTGGAAAACAACGGACAGACAGAGACCAGGCAAAACGTGACATCATAGGATATCACAATATTACACGAACTACAAAGCCACCAACCAAGCGATATTAAGCATTATCTCTAACGAGCAGTGATTAGCTCCATCTGTCCGTTCATTTTTGCACCGTATACAATCGGGCGCTTGTCTACACGAAACTACGCGAAATTCATGTTGACATGGAGACTCAATTACAACGCGAATTGCCTGACCCGTTGACAAAATCAAGTACATTTATACAAAACTAACATCCATTGGCTTACTCGATGGCTTACACCTGTTCGCGTCATAGTTTGAAGTATATCTTTCTTGAAACACCGTGGGTAGGCGTAGTTTTACACTGCTGTGGACACTATTCCAGCATTATCACGGCGATTGTCTCCATAAATGGGTTTCACACATTAATATTGTATCCGGGAGGGGAATCGAACCCGGTCAAACGCTTTAACCGCTAGGCTACCCCACCACAATAAATTAAACACAAACTTAGTCAGCCGTATCAAATACAAAGTTAGATACCTGAATCAAACACAACATACTCGGGTCTTTTTAATCATCACGAATGATGAACACAATAAATGTCACCTGTGTAAATTAGCATAGATGAAAGAAACACCGCGGCTTTTATTTTAGTATAATTTGCTTCCTTCTCAGTGACATCACGTCTGAGATAAAATACATATACATGTACAACTCCTCATGAGCCACGAGCGACTTCAAAAATGACAATAGTTTTGTACTGTTAAAAAACCCATCATTTAACATTTAAAGTGAAAGATAGAATGAAACAAGGGATAAACCAAATAATTAAGTGTTAATTTATATACAAGCTATTATTCCGTTTACCGAAGGTCAGGTTTCAGGTTTGTCGTATATTTAATGCAATACGCTTTTTTCATTCAATACGAATAACATCATTGAGTGAGTGAGTGAGTTTTACGCAGCACTCAGCAATATTCCAGCTATATGGCAGCGGTCTGTAAATAATTGAGTCTGGACAAGACAATCAAGTGATCAACAGCATGAGCATCGACCTGCGCAATTGGGAACCGATGACATGTGTCAACCAAGTCAGCAAGCCTGACCACCCGATCCCGTTAGTCGCCTCTTACGACAAGCATGGGTTGCTGAAGGTACATTCTAACCCGGATCTTCACGGGTTTGGAGGGACGCCGAAAAAGTAATCCCCAATATAACAGAAGATAACGTACCTGTTACTACATGATGGTGGTAGCAGTGACCCCAGAAATTCTTGATGTCATACTGGACAGATAAATACATTTCAGCACAGTCTGTTTGTAAATGTGTGTTTGCCTACTCGCAGTCAGCAGGGACGTTGTAGCAAGCGAGAGAACAGGCCCCTGTGAGCTGCACGTGGAGCAGGAAGCAAACTGACATAGATGAGGGTGAGCACAATTATGTACACTCCTGAAATTAAAGGCATTATATTCACGGGTCACGAATAACATCAATCCAAGAGGAGAGTCATACTTGACAAGAAGATATTCACCCATGTCATTGTACAAGGGACAATTTAATTTTTTTTAACTTCAACAACAGCTGGACAATGAAAACAGTGTTCTTATACCATGGAGACTATATAACGTATAATGTTGTAGATTATCCCTGCTTTTACCTAGCGATTTAAATGAGAAGAACTTTTATGAATACAAAATGCAGTAACTTAGTAAATTGGACTATCTAGTATCTTCGCATGACTACTTCCATGTATTGTTGACTGCAAGCATGTTTTGGTGATATCAAACTTAACGCAGTTATATGTTTTAACAACTTTTACGTTACAAATAAAGTAGATAAGACACGACAAATGTAACAGCATAGTTGTTCCGATATGGAGTAGAAAAAATACGTTGGGAAGAATACTGCAAAAGAAGTCGGTTTCCCTACATTTGGGTAAAATTAATGAAACAGGAGCTAGTTACTGTTTCGGTGCAGATTATATTTATATTGTGCATAAAAATGCAATGCCTCACAATGTTGCATTTCTTCTGTTTGTTTCACGCAGCAGAACTGTCAACTGACTGATATTCATTGCAAGCGGGTTCCTGTGTGTAACTAGTTGTGACGAAAATATAGTCTTGTGAGAGTTCAGAGTTATGTCCCTTTATTTGCCGGCGTGAAAACAAAACATGTGTTGACAGTGAACCTTTCCCTCGTTTTATAGGTGAGACTGAAAGACTAGAGAAATACTCTACGTTTGTGAATGATTATTGCTTAGTTGACAAATATAGTTTTAAAAATTCTTATGAGAAATTGAGCTGTTACCCCTTACTAGCGTAGAAGAATTTTAGGCGTATAAATTCTGTTTTATTTAAATTTGGAGTCGTAGTAGCCTAATCATTATGATGTGCCTGAACAGTACTACATAACTGATGCTGATGGTGTTGCTGAAGCTGTTACACATTGTTGATCATCAAAAGAGACAATCATTATAAAAATTCATAAAGTGTTCAGTAAACATTGTTTATCATGTTAATGCAGTAAATGAACAAAAATGATCACATTTGTTTTCACGAGATAGTCAAAGAGAAGCATCAATCGTGTAGACTTTCTGTCATCTTGGTATTGGATATTTCAGCAGCATCATTCAACATGACTTGATACAAGATCTATTTCTATGTACTTTAAAAGAAAAATGTTGATATAAACACATTAGTTTCAACAATTTTGACTATTTCTCATAACACTTATGCTAGAACTGTTTCATTAAGAGTGTCTTGACTCTTAGCCTGTTGATATCAGTGCTGTCCTCACAAGTTTTCTGTTCATGGTGACAACTACTGGGTAAATATATATCTGATTAACATGGTTGCAAGTTGTGCATTCAGCTGTAAAGAGAATTGGTTTATTAAAAACTCAAAGTTTTGTCCCAGACAATGACCTTTCAATTGGGTGCAACAATTTCTGCCTAGTTTCTATCAACATGATCAACCATAGTTAAAATCTTTTCCAAGGCAATATATACTTCAACAACCCCATGCTTGCCTTTATCATGTTTATATTTGACTCATAAGGGCCAGTTAATTACAATGTGTGGCCAATTCCGTCATGATGATACTGTATACCATTGCCAATATCCAGACTACACCACCTGTAGAGATCTTGGTTAGAATTGGTCTTCAGTAACCCATACTTATCGTGAGAGGTGACTAACGGGATCAGGTGGTCAGGCTCTCTGACTTGGTTGACATGTCATCGTATCCCATTTGTGTAGATTGGTGCTCATGGTGTCAATCACTGGATTGTCTGTTCCATATTTGAATATTTACAAAGCACAGTCATATAGCTGGAAAATTGTTGACTATGGTGTTAAACAAAGTACAAAACTAAAAAACATATGTACCTATTTAATTTCAAAACTGTTGATAACATTGTTGATTGGACTTACCATGCTTATAAATTATTCATCATGTTCAGAAGTTGTCATGATTAAAAATAACCGCAAATGTACACAATTTCTTTTCACTGTGGCAAATAGGTTGTCGGAATCCCATGTTGTAAGAGACATCTGATTAAGTTTGGTGGACACAATGTTTCACATAACTGATTGTGTGCCATCCTATCACCTTGGCATTTGGAAGGTATCATCAAGATCGTTGCTATGTCTGTCATTCCTTAGGTTGAAATTGCGTAGATCTATGACCAGACTCGATTATTTACAAACCGCCGCTATATATCTGGAATATTGTTGAGTGCGACATTAACATCATACCAACCAATACTTAGGTGGAATGTTTACAGATCACCATGACAGCGGGAGTTTTGCAGATCATATTTTCTTCAGTGAAACTATGTTCATTCACTTACTCTAACCACTGAATATCTCACAATATACAGTAATAATTCATGTTTATTCGTACCCATGCAGTACTATCAGTGGTGCCTAGCCAACATAATGACATCAATCATCAAGCTGCATGTGTTCTCGGGGGCACAAGGAGAGACCCCACCGTGCTACATGCTGCAGGTGGATGAGTTCCGCTTCCTGTTGGACTGTGGCTGGGACGAGGACTACAGCATGGATCACATCCGAGAACTCAAACGGTACCAGATATTAACTTCACTTGGTCATAAATCCATACTGTTTTTGCAATTCAGCATTACAGTCAAGGGTCCTTTTCACAGCCCTTTGTGAAAACTGAGAATTAAGGGAAGCCTGGTTTTAAATACTGTGAAAGCAAACCACAAGGACACCATTAGTTTCTAACAGTATGAATGCCCCATTTAGAATTGGTCTCACATGACATGTATAACATTGTATGTCATGTGGTTGTATGCAGGGGTGAATCGGTACGCTCTTAGTCTTACCACGGTACGGTAGATATTGCGGTACAATGCTTTCTGTCCATTTTCGTTCAGTATATGAGAACTTACTTCCAGGAAAATAGTTGCTGTCTTGCAAAGAAATGCATAGATTTTGACAAAATGATTTGGTTTCTAAACATTTTTTAAAAGGTTAATAACATGATGGTACGAAAACCAAAAATACCGAATTTTTGGATTGCATTACGGTATACTGAACAGAAGGCAAAATACCGGTATACTGTTTCACCCCCAGTTGTATGAGGAGATCATAAATGGGGTTGGTGTTGAGGCTCACTGACTTTGTGGACTGATTCATCGTACTATGATGGTGTTAGTGTTGCTCATTATGTCCACCATTTGTTTTTTTAGAAAAGACTTGATTACTTATAGGCTCATAAGAAATAGCTGGAATATTGCTGACTGAGGCGTAAACAATATTTACTAGAGCTGTGACGATATATCGTAGTATCGATAATCGTGATACTTTATCTGACGATAAATATATCGATACGTTTTTTCGTATCATGATATGTATCGTTGACACTAATATTGTTAATTTTCATTAGATATTGACGGTTATGTCAAAATTTCGTGCTATTAACATATATTTTTTTAAAGAAAATAACAAAAGAAAGCATATCGTGATATGCATCGAATCGTATCGTTTCAAGATATCGCAATATGTATCGTATCGTGAAATTTCTGTATCGTCACACCTCTAATATTGATTCATTTCACTCATTCATTTAAAGGACTAAAGTTGATTAACAAAGTTGATTTGAACAATTCGATGACCCCAATCCTTGTCATGTTCATCAAACATCCAAAATTCAAATTGGCTTCAATACTTGCTTGATGTAACAATACTTGCTTGATGTAACAATACTTGCTTGATGTAACAATACTTGCTTGATGTAACAATACTTGCTTCAGTCTTGTATGTCGAGTGCCTGTAGCAATTTTTAAAACATCCCAATGGCCTCAAAAACAAACCAACCCATGAAGAACTGACTTAGGATTGATCTTCAGTAACCTATGCTTGTCATAAGGAGCGACTAACGGGATCGGGTGGTCAGACTCGCTGACTTGATTAACACATGTCCCAATGGCCTCAAAAACAAACCAACCCATGAAGAACTGACTTAGGATTGATCTTCAGTAACCTATGCTTGTCATAAGGAGCGACTAACGGGATCGGGTGGTCAGACTCGCTGACTTGATTAACACATGTCACTTTATGCCAGTTGCGAAGATCGAGGCTCATTATGTTGATCACTGGATTGTCTAGTCCAGACTCGATTATTTACAGACCACCGCCATATAGCTGGAATATTACTGAGTGCAGCGTAAAACTAAACTCACTCACTCACTCAAAAACAAACCTGGATTTCTTGTGATCTGTTTCAGACATCTTCACCAGATAGATGCAGTGTTGTTGTCGTATCCTGATCAGCAACACTTGGGTGCAGTCCCGTACCTTGTGGGCAAAGCTGGTCTCTCCTGCCCCATATACTCAACTATTCCAGTGTACAAGATGGGGCAGATGTTCATGTATGATCTGTTCCAGGTAGGGCATCAGTTACCTCCCTTTGACCCCAAAACATCATCAGTTATTTGTTTATCTGTGACTGAGTGCATAAAAGTAGCTTCATGTTCTGTTAAGAAATCATTTTGTACTAATTTGCCTAAGACATATGGAGATTTAATTGTCATGTTAACTTCAAAGTTTGATTGAAACCACAAGAACCTATAGTAATGATATTCATTTGAATTAAATGTTAATGAAATTTATACAAGAATGATAATAATCTTGGCTGTTTCTTTTTTATTTTCTTTATGAAATTCAAAATATAACATTTGACAAAGAAGTTTTACCTGATTTATACCTGTTTCAGTCTCGTCACAACACAGAGGATTTTGACGTATTTACACTGGATGATGTTGATGCTGCATTTGACAAGATCATTCAGCTGAAGTACTCCCAATCTATTACACTCAAAGGTGAGATGATCACTGTGTTTGTTAAGATCCGGGTTAGAATTGATCTTCAGCAACGCATGCTTGTCGTAAGAGGCGACTAACAAGATCGGGTGGTCAGGCTCGCTGACTTGGTTGACATATGTCATCGTATCCCAATTGATGCTCATGCTGTTGATCACTTGATTGTCTGGTCCAGACTCGATTAGTTACAGACCACTGCCATATATTTGGAATATTGCTGAGTGTGGCGTAAAGCATCAAACCAAATCAAACTGGTAAGGTGAAAACCAGAAGCCCAAAGTTTGTAACATTAGAGCTATATGAAAAAGGTCAGTGATTTTCACCGGAATTATTGAAACTATCGGTTATGGCTATATGAAACAAGTGTGTATTTCCTGGGCCATTTTCCGAAAGGCAGCCTTGCATCAACTCATATAGCTGAACACAAATTTACAAAGGTTATTGTGCAGAAATTACAAGTGAACTGAGGATCTTCTCCTTGGAACTATTTTGTTTCTGCTACAGATAAACAAAGTGGTTTCTGTGAAAATTCTGAGGGAAGAGAATGATAGTATTCCATGCTCAGATGAAAATGGCGATTGGTTGGTGATAGTATGAACGGGTCCACTTCCTCAAAGTGTGGTTAAGTCAACAGTTGTTGTACATGAAGCTCTCATACTAAAGGGGGCGGTGGGGTAGCCAAGTGGGTAAAGCGTTGGCTCGTCACGCCTAAGACCTGGGTTCGATTCCCTACATGGGTACAATGTGTGAAGCCCATTTCTGGTGTCCCTCACCGTGATGTTGCTGGAATATTGCTAAAAGCGGCGTAAAACCAAACTTGCTCACTCGCTCATACTAAAGATTTACACTGGGTTTAGTACTAAGATGTTCACACCTTGTTTCCAGGCAAAGGCCATGGTCTGCAGATAACGCCTCTGGCTGCTGGGCACATGATTGGAGGCACGATATGGAAGATTGTGAAGGATGGGGAGGAGGAGATTGTGTATGCTGTGGACTACAACCACAAGAAAGAGAGGTCGGTTACCCTAATCTGTAGCAGAGTAATTTCAGATTTCGTTTTCCAATTTGAGTTTTGTTTGTTCATACAATGTGATGTGACATTTACGTGATGTGTGTTTCAGACATTTGAATGGCTGTGTGCTGGAGATGTTCAACAAGCCGTCACTGATGATCACTGATTCTTTCAATGCAACATACAACCAGCCCAGGAGACGGCTAAGAGACGAACAGCTCATGAGTGAGTGTCTCAAGCAAATATGTCACATGTAATAACTGCAACAATAGACAACTATAGTCTCTTTGCAGTGAAAACGTACCGATAAATTTCACTTTAAGCAAAAAAGTAAATCAAATAAAGTGAAATTAAGATTGCGAAACTTCATAACTATACCTTGCCAATTGAACATTTGAATCTTAGAATTTTATTCAACTTAGATAATAGTTGTTTAACAGACGATCATAGTTTCAAATCGCTAATGTTGGTTTGTATTACAAGGGGGTATGCACATTAAATGAAACACCGAGAACAAGAAAGGTTGGTTTCTATGGTAGTCTAAGTTAACGCTCATCACGCACCGCACATGCATTTGTTTCATGGTTCCAACTACTGCGCGTACCACCTTATAATAAAAACCAATAGTAGAGATTTGAAACTATGATCGTTTGTTAAACAACTTTTATCCTAAGTTGAATAAAATTCTGAGATTTTAATGTTCATTTGGCAAGGTAAAATTATGAGGATTTGCAATCTTAATTTCACTTTATTTGATTTACTTTTTTGCTTAAAATGAAATTCACTGGTACGTTTTCACTGCAAACAGACTGTAGTTGCAGATTATGTCTCAAGTGATCGATGATAGGTCATTGATGGGTATCCATTACATTACAACTCTTGCTGTTCCTCACTTTTGTATATCAACTATAATAGTTAACTGAGCAGTAAATTTACCCCTTCCATTGGATGCAGGTTTATTACGAAGAAAACATGTTAAGATGCTTGTGATTATGCATCCTTTATGGAAGGCTAGGTGGCATTATTTTTGCATTCATGACTTTTTCTTGTGACAAGAAATCAGTCAATTATTAATCAACACTAATTTGGCGATTAATTTCTAAGTTGTAAAATAATTTTCTTCAGCAACCATCCTCCAGACTATGAGGAATGATGGGAACGTTTTGGTTGCTGTGGATACGGCTGGAAGAATGCTGGAACTTGCACAGCTACTGGTAGGCCTTTTCAAGTCAGCTGGAATCTGACATTTGCTTTAACGTCCTTCAGTGCATACAGGCTATAAGTTAACCATTGTTGACTCAGCTTGAAGTTTAAGGGAAAAGTTGCAAGATGAGACATGAAAACATTACATGATTATCCATAGTCCTATTGGGAAGGAATGTGTTTGATTTGTTAGATGTTTTCGATGTTGAACAGAGTCAGTAGCCTATATAGGAATTGCAGGTATTTAATCTAATTGTGGGAACATAAGCAGTTGAATGGGATTGTTAAAAACTGTTGCTCCCAACATGAAGGAATGTATCATAAATTCAGTTGGTGATTTCACGGCTCTGTCCTGCATTCATAGGTTGTCAGGGCGGTGGGGTAGCCTAGTGGTCAAAGCATTGGCTAGTCACGCCAAAGACCCGGGTTCGATTCACACATAGGCACAATGTGTGAAGCCCATTCCTGGTGTCGTGATGTTGCTTGAATATTGCTAAGAGCAGCGTAAAACGGTACTCACTCACCCATAGGTTGTCATGATATTGCTCCCTATCCATCTGTAACACAGACTCCCTGCTCTCTCACACTGCGTCAGACTCCCTGACTCATGTCATCGTATTCCAGTTGCGTAGATCGTGCTGTTAATCACTGGATTGTCTGGTCCCGACTCGATTATTTACAGATCGCCGCAATATAGCTGGAATATTGCTGAGTGCAGCGTAAAACTTAACTCACTCACTATTCAGACTGTAATTTGCCAGCTGCGTCCTTGATTCATAGGTTGTCATGATGGTGCTGCCTGTGCTCACCGTATGTCCCTCTGACACTGTTCATGTTCATGTTTCAGGATCAGATGTGGAGGAGTGCTGAGTCAGGTCTCTCACCCTACTCTCTGGCTCTCCTCAACAATGTCAGCTTCAATGTTGTGGAGTTTGCCAAATCACAGGTAATCTGCCACCTGTCTCCTGGTGTAGTGTTCTATTCTCTGTTTGACTGTTGGATGTATTTTTGTTCATACAATGTTACGATAATTTAACAAGATGATGCAATTAACTATGTAATACTCTCAACACTGTGCACAGAGTTTTGGTAGTAATGTCATAGAAGTAAATATGAATTTCAAACATTATGGAAAACACCACATCCACATTTCCAACAAATTCTACACCATTAAATGTGTTAAAGCCTTCTATTGGATCACTATCTTCACCAGTTTCAAAATCAATCTTGTAGATTTGTATTCATTCAACACATAATGTATTCATTAATGTTTTCCTGAAATAGGCATAATTTTTAACTTACCTAACTTCATGGTAATGTGCATATTACCTTTGCTCATCAAATACAAAGATTGGAAACGTGATCGATAAGTATCCTTGTTGAATGCTATCATGAAACTGGTGACGTGTCGATCTCGTCCGGCGAGCGGACGCACGCCCCCCAGTCCCGTCATGTGACAACGAGAACACTTCACTGTATCCTTTATCGCATTGCGAGTTGGACGTGTATACGATATGTCTGTTTCTTTTCTTACTGTTTGTTTGTGTTTTGCTACGGTAAGGTTTTCCTATTGTATCCTTCTACCATGATATAACGAAAAGCTACTCACCGTTGGCTGTTATTTCTCACTGCACAGTCTTCGCGGTGTGTTGTTTTGCTTTGTTTTGCCTCGCGTTGTTTATCCAGCTTTGCTTAGGCAGAATTAGGTACCTCTTTGGTCAGCCTGGGTTGTTTTTGTCCTTGCTTGACCATTCTATGTATCTTGTTCTTATTTTGTGTCATATTTTGTGTGTTTTTCTTCGTAGAGTTTTTTTCACATGCTTGCCAGTAATGGTGGTTGTCACTAGGCATGGCCCATACATGCAGAGCTACCTGTGTGTGCTCTCTGTTGTCGTTTAGTTTCGTATTCCGCTTTTCCCGCCGTTTTTTTCGCTTCACTGTCACGTTAAGTTGTCGGCGTTTCTTTCTTATTTGGGTAAGCGTGTGCATACCAAAGTTATGTGGTTTCGCACACGCTTACCTTTGCCATATAGGCTTATATTTGCTTTATCATAACTGTTTGTTATGCTATATTTTCTTCGTTATAATGTTAAATTTTATCCTATCTCACGGTATGCACCTGTCTTCTTCTACGACCATGTGTGGAAACGTGCTGTAGGCGTGAGGACGTCGGTTCGTGGAGCCTTTAGAGGGCGTGGCAGGGGACGTCCCAGCGACTTCCAACGTCGTCCCGCCGGTAACCAAAAGGACTTTGGCAAGACCAGCAAACCCAAGTACAAGCTCCGCTGATGTTTTGGGCGGTCACGACTGGGACCTCCCGCCCCCAGCCGTCCATATCCGCGATATACCTGTAAGCGGGAGACTTGGGGTCTTCTGGCCCAACTGGACAATCCTAGGAGACCCCTTTGTCACCAATCTTCTCAAGACAGGCTACAAGTTGCCAATAGCCATGTCGCGGCCTTTGACCACCTCGCCCCTATCTCAGGAATATTCCATCGTTCAACACCAGCACCTGTTGACCAACATTCAGGCGTTGCTGGACAAGAAGGCCATAGAACAAGTACTAGAGCCCAGCAACTCCCCAGGGTTTTACTCTCCCATTTTCTTAGTACCCAAACAGAATTCTCAGAAGATGAGGATGATACACAATATGGCAGTGTTCAACAAACTTTACCTTCCGGAGCCGCCACATTTTCGGATCGTATCTCTGATCCAGCTACGAACCAAACTATCCCCCAAGGTTTGGTTGGTCAGTCTGGATCTTCAAGACGCATACCTACATGTTCCCATTTACGAACCTCACCGGAAGTTCCTGAGGTTCATTTTCGACGGTCACCATTACCAGTGGAAGGTCCTGCCGTTTGTCATCTCTATGGCCCCGGGGCTTTTCACTCGAATTACTGCACCGATTTCCCGGTATCTTCATCTTCGGGGGATAGAGTTCGACCCATACATAGACGACTCTCTCATGAGCCACAAGGAGTGCTTGCTGCTACGCAGACAGAGGGATTTTACACTCAAGCTTTTCCACCAACTCGGTTGGATCGTCAACATCGAGGAGTCCCACCTAGAGCCATCCCAACAGTTGACTTTCATAGGAGGTTTGTTCCTGACATATCAAGACCTTCTGCGGGTTCCACCGGACAGATGGCAAAGAATCCTCAGTCTGGCTCGGCGGGGTCTGGCACACCCGCTTACACTCAGGGAATGGTAGTTCCTACTAGGTCTGTTGACGTCGGCTCAGGATCTTACCACCAGAGGGAGATTTATGCTCAGACCGCTTCAACGGTTCCTCTCGCCTTTCATCCTCTTAGACGACCTCAGTCACGGTTTCCGCTGCCCCTTTATCTTTATCCCTTTCTTCAGTGGTGGACAATCGAGTCGAACGTTCGTGGCGGCGTCTCTTTGACCGAATTCACACACGACCGCGAACTGTTTGTGGACACCTCTCTGCAGGGTTGGGGCGCTCACCTGGACTCTCAGACAGCAGCAGGGCTGTGGTCAACCGCACAGGCAGGTTGGCACAGCAACAACCTAGAGCTTCAGGCTGTCATCTTAGCCATTCAGCACTGGATTCATTCGCTACGGGGTTCCAAGCTCTTGGTGGCGTCGGACAACTCGACAGTGGTCTGGTTGATCCTCAACCAGGGAACAACCAGCTCGGGTCTTCTCTTGAATCAGACGTTTCGTCTGTTTCGCCTTCTGGACGACAACAACATCCAGATCAGAGCTTGTCACATTCCCGGGTTGCAGGGACGTCTTGGCAGACGCTCTGTCCTGACAAGACATCCCCAACAGAGTGGATGCTTCATCCGGAAGTATTCAATCTGGTTTGTCACCTCCATCACAGACCGTTAGTGGACCTCTTTGCAACGAAGCACAACCATCAACTTCCGGTCTAAGTGTCTCCTCTTCCGGATCCTGTCGCTTGGGCAATGGACGCCCTGTCCCTCTCATGACGGGACGCCTCTAGACGCCTACGCGTTTCCTCCTCCAGTTCTTCTTCCCACGGTTGTAGCCAAGCTCAAGGAGACCAAGCGGATGACTCTGCTTTTGGTCGTGCCTTGGTGGCTGGCGAGAACCAGGTTCCCCGAACTATGTCGACTCGCCGAAGGAGATCCTCAACCGCTACCACAGTGGCCGCACCTTCTATGGCATCCTCACAGCCGCCTGTTGCACCCAGATCCGGACAGGTTTCATCTATGCGTTTGGGTCATCTTCAGAAATCTCTGAAATCCAAGGGTTATTCGGCTAGTGTGGCTACGATCATCGCCCGTGCTTATAGAGTGTCCACCCGCAGCTTGTACGATGACAAATGGTCTGCATTTAAATTTTGCGCTGATCACTCTAAGAATCCGGTTAAAGCGTCTCCTCAATTTATTGCGGAATTCCTCCTCTACCTACGCAACACTCGTCATCTGAAGGGTGGTACGATTTCTACTTATTTGGCAGCCCTTAATTCAGTGCTGGCTGTCAAGTCTGATAGGAAGGTCTCCAAGATCCCGGAATTACTGGCCATGCTGAAAGCGTTCCGCCCTCCAGCTCGGGATCTTAACGTGGTTTTACAACACCTTCGTGGACGTCCTTTGTCTGTGGCCTCCTTCGAGGACTTGTCCAGGAAAACAGTTTTCTTTTGGCACTTGCTACTGCGGCCAGAGTTAGTGAGCTTCACACCATAGATGTCACCAGGATTAGGTTTGAACATACTCGTCACGGTTCCGTCCATTTGGGTCTTCTCTGGGACTTCATTGCCAAGAACCAGTTGCCTGGTCAACCGGATCGTATGTTTGTCAGCCCTCCTTAGTCTTCTATAGTTGGCAGTGACGACTCCGATGAACTTGCGGTGTGTCCCGTCAGGGCCCTTAAAGAGTACATCAAGCAGTCAGCCGTCAGGAGACGTACCAGGAAACACCTTTATATTCCGTTTTCTTCTGCGTCGAAGGGTGAGGTCAACAGAATTACCATCGCTTTGTGGCTTCGCTCGACTATCCTCACAGCTTACGACTCTGCTGGTTTACCTCACCCAACTGCCAACAACCCGCACGAGATCCGGGCCTTTGCGTCCACCATGGCTCTGCACAGAAACTGCTCTGTTCCCACCATTATGGAAGGTTGCTTTTGGAGGTCTTACACAGTCTTCACCAGCCATTATATCCAGGATCTGGCAGTCCAGGATGTACAGGGGCTCCCGCTCGCCGGACGAGTTCGACACGTGACCAGTTTCATGATAGCATTCAACAAGGATATTTATCGATCACGTTTCCAATCTTTGTATCGGATGAGCAAAGGTAATATGCACATTACCATGAGGTAAGGTAAGTATTTAAATATCTAAAATATTTAGATTTTAATAATTTTCTACTTTGTTAACCCTGCAAGATTTAAATCATTTGCACATTGATTCCTTCACCTTTTCAATGTCTGTTCCAGGTTGAATGGATGAGTGACAAGATCATGCGAGCGTTTGAGGACAACCGAAGTAACCCATTCCAGTTCAAGCACCTCAAGCTGTGCCACAACCTGGGGGAGTTGGCTCGAGTGCCAGAACCAAAGGTAGGTTATTGCACTTACTACTACTGATTATGCAGGGTAACACCTTGATTTTTTTTCGGACTTTTATTCCCATTCCTGATAGAACCTACTAGAACACGTGAAAGGACATAATGCTCACCTTTACCATCATACTAAAGTTACTGCAGATTCTTGTTGCAGCAGGGCCGGTGGGGTAGAAATGGTTAAACTTGAAGCGTCCGCTCATCACGCTGAGACCCGGGTTTAATTCCCCACATGGGTACAATGTGTGAAGCCCATTTCAGGTGTCCCCCGCCGTGATGTTGCTGAAATATTGCTAAAAGCGACGTAAAACTAAACTCAGTCAGTCAGTCTGGTGTCCGCTGCTGGGATATTTCTGGAATATTGCTAAAAGCGGCTTAAAACTAAACTCACTCACTTACTGTTGCAGTATAGTTGTTGACTGTCTGAGTCTTGTTGAATTATACATGTCCTTTGATAGGGCTCATGGAGTGTTAAGATCACTAAAGAAGGTTAGTGTTTGGTTCTGTGTTGTATGTGGTTCATGGGTGGAAATAACTTTAAAATTGCTAGTGTACTCCGGTACAGTGGCACATGTAAAATCACTTGCCCTGATAATTTTCCCACTATACCGACCGTTTTCTTGCTGATTTTTTAAATAAACAACATAATTAACATTGGAAAATCAACTGGACACCGGTACAGTGTGATACAAATTTGCTTGCCCAACAAAAAAAAACACTGTACTCGGACGTCGGGCAATGGGTTATTTCCACCCCTGTGGTTGCAGACTGCATTAGTGTAACACTTTGGGACTGCTGATACACAGATTTCAGAGCAAGCGTCAACCAGCTTTGGGCACAGTTGTGTAAATGAAATCAGTTTCAGCCATTACCTTTCTGGTACAGGATATAGAGCATCATATGTGCATTTGAAAATTGATACGACCCTGTATACCACCAGTTTCTTATGGTGAAAGGTACGGGGACATGAGCTTGGGGTGGTGGTTTAGAATTGATCTTCGGCCACCCATTCTTCTTGTATGAGATGTCAACAAGGGCTGTATGTCATCAGCTCAGTTGTGTAGTCTTGGAACAGCTGACTAGCACGCAGTTTGAAGGCTGAAGAAGTGGTCGGTGTTATGATGAAAATCTGTGACTGTATTGATAAATAGACAGGCAAGCTTCCAAGCCTAACTGCCTGCCAATTTTTCATACCTTGCATAGTTTTATTGTGAACCTATTCGTTCTGAAATCCCAATGGGGGTTGATATGAAAATGATGCTTTGCCACGTAATTCGTAGAAGAGTTACAGATTTGCATCAGTCATACCAACTGTCCTCCTCCAAGGATCAGATGTATTCATTTGACATGTTTGTGCACTAATACCATGAATGTAGCAACCTTTCTGCTCTGAGATTCTTCCTGAGCCCGTCATAGTGCACCTTAGGCATTAAAGGGAGACAACTCTGTCACAATTAGTGCCCAATTGTCATGTTACAGAGCCAGGTTTTGAATGAAATGATTTAATGTGTTAAGACTTGAAGGTAAAATGATATTCCCTTTGTTCACACCTTGTTTACAAAGGGGCTTGTCAATAACCCATTAGAGGACAGTGTGCATAGCGTGTATCTCATCCAGCTGCCATTTGAAAACAAACCAGGTTCTTTATTTAGGAGAACGTGGGATCCCAGTGGCCAGTGTCTCCATTAGGAACGTTGTTTATGTATGGCCAGGCTCTAAATGTCAGCCCACAAGAACTTGTGGGGAAATATGCCGTAATATTTAGAAGAGTAAAACTACGCTATTGACATTCTTCTAGCCAGTCCATTACTGCATTAGGAAGCATGTTTAAATACTTGTGTATATCTGTGGCTTAGAGTGCATGATCATTAACAAACCATTCACTTTATCTTCCATGTGGAGTGAGACTGCTTCTGTGGTGCTGTGAATTCAGCATATATTGAGAGAAAATCGGCAGTCATAACCACAGACTTTAAAATATGGCACTTACAGCTATACTGCCTCCCATTGTGGAATGTAAGAAGTCCTGTTCAGCTCAGAGTCAGCATGCATGTCTAATCTGTGAAGATCGGGGTTAGAATTGATCTTCAGTAACCCATGCTTGTCATGAAAGGCGACTAAGGGGATCTGGTGGTCAGGCTTGCTCACTGGCTTGGTTGACACATGTCATCATGTCCTTATTGCATAGATTGATGTTCATGCTGTTGACCACTGGTTTGTCTGCTCCAGACTCGATTATTTACAGCCCGTCGTCATGTAGCTGGAATATTGTTGAGTGCGGTGTGAAACAACAAACCAACCAACCAACATTATGTAAGTGCTATAATCTTTAACACACCTTGAAGCAGTAACATTATTATTTGACTTAGGATGTCTGGTCATGGAGGCATTTTCAGAGGCACAGTAGCTTATTACTTTAGACATGTTCTGTATTTAATATTACTCATGTTACTTCTAAACATATTTACTTGCTTCAGAAAGGAAAAAGTGACAGGAAAGGAGATTGCCTTTTGAATTGTTATCTGTACAAAAATGTGGCCATGTCTATCATTATTTGTTTGTAATATTGTTTTTTTGTTCTTGGAAGAGCAACATTTATCAGATTTGTCATTTCCTGTTTCAACCATGTGTGTTATTAAGCTTATGGTTTTGGAAAATAAGCTGTCTGTCAAGTATTAAGAAAAATGATTCCAGCCAGAGATGAGCATCAGTTGCAGCAAATGGGCAAGCCAAAATATGTAACTGTTCTCCAAACGGAAAGATTTCCGCCTGTAACCCCCGTATTTTTTTAATCATTATATGCCTAAGAATATACGCCTATGTTTTTTTATAAACAGCTGATACCTAACCCTAAACCTAACCCTAAAATCTAACCCCAAACCTAACCCTAAACCCTCGAAATAATCCTAATAAATAGAATACATTTCAAGCTGGGGTAACGGGCAGAACTCGTACCCTCCAAACATGCCAAAATGACAGACATGGAACTTATTTTGACTTAATACATGCTTAAAATATTTGTCGAGTTTAAGAGGCATTTTTGTTCAAGAGAATAGTTGATGACTATTGTCATACCTAATTCTTCAAAAGGTTTTTTGAGCACAATGACATTTGTACACAAGATTGTAATAAATAGTGTGAGGTTGTACCCATGGTATCAATACCCTGTCTCAGTCAATACCTTCGATCTGGATGCCCTGGTGTGAGGCTGTACCCATGGTATCGATACCCTGTCTCAATCAGTATCTGTGGTCTGGCTGCCCTGGTGTGAGGTTGTACCCATGGTATCAATACCCTGTCTCAATCAGTATCTGTGGTCTGGCTGCCCTGGTGTGAGGTTGTACCCATGGTATCAATACCCTGTCTCAATCAGTATCTGTGGTCTGGCTGCCCTGGTGTGAGGTTGTACCCATGGTATTGATACCCTGTCTCAATCAGTATCTGTGGTCTGGCTGCCCTGGTGTGAGGTTGTACCCATGGTATTGATACCCTGTCTCAATCAGTATCTGTGGTCTGGCTGCCCTGGTGTGAGGTTGTACCCATGGTATTGATACCCTGTCTCAATCAGTATCTGTGGTCTGGCTGCCCTGGTGTGAGGTTGTACCCATGGTATTGATGCCCTGTCTCAATCAGTATCTGTGGTCTGGCTGCCCTGGTGTGAGGTTGTACCCATGGTATTGATGCCCTGTCTCAATCAGTATCTGTGGTCTGTCTGCCCTGGTGTGAGGTTGTACCCATGGTATTGATACCCTGTCTCAATCAGTATCTGTGGTCTGGCTGCCCTAGTGTGAGGTTGTACCCATTGTATTGATACCCTGTCTCAATCAGTATCTGTGGTCTGTCTGCCCTAGTGTGAGGTTGTACCCATGGTATTGATACCCTGTCTCAATCAGTATCTGTGGTCTGGCTGCCCTGGTGTGAGGTTGTACCCATGGTATTGATATCCTGTCTCAATCAGTATCTGTGGTCTGGCTGCCCTGGTGTGTTGTTGTAACCATGGTATTCAAACTTCTAGTCAATCAGTAACCATGGTAACCGAGACCTGGTTAATTGGTGTCAGATTTACCCATCAGTCCATTCCTGCAGTCCCTTCAACTTGACACTACACGTGACCCCTCTGAATGTCCAAGCTTCCTCCCACACAGCCCTTACAATACAGTGACCAAGAACACGGTAACATTCTGGTCATTTCATCATGCTCATGCAATAACTGACAATACTTCATTTGAGCTGTGAGCACATTTAAATGAAATGTGGTCTAAAATAGCATGTAATAACGCTGGCTGTCCTGTACAAGGTCCCTGGCAAGCCTGTGGGCATTTTGTCTGATGTGGAAAATGTGGTATTTATCCTGGCCCAAATGGAGCAGACGCACAGACTCTTAACGATCACTTCTCAACAATCTGCAGTAAAGTAAGTTAGAGCCAGTGAATTACGGCTGTCTTATTTTGATTCCAGTTGTCAGATTCCTCTTCAAGGAACCATAGACACTTGGTCAAATTGGAAATTTGAAGTGCTAAGTCATATGACCAAGGTTAATTTAGCAGCCACAGTCACGTAAAGGCTAAATTGAATGACTTTTTGTATAAAAAATGAAGGTCCCAGAATGCTGTGTTGGATGCTGTGGTTCTGAGTTGCTTGACCTCTAATGGCACCCTACCATTGGTTGTTAGTAGGGGAGCTTGTTGATGGAGCAGTTCAGTGGTATTGCCAATTTAGCATCATTGATGTAAAAGTGGCAGAAATAATCAGTGGTTATACACTGCAGCAGGACAAGTCAGTCGGGGCCAAACATAAGACTAAACATAACTTGACTCTTGCATCATTCTCATTGACGTTCTGTGATTTTGATTTTGTTGAAATACTATACAGAACCATTTACCTTGGTTTCTGACTTAAGACTCAAATCAGACATTTGCTTATAAATTTTTATTTGTTTGTGATCTTAATTTTACCTTTGATTTAAAAGCAGAAAATAAATGTATTCAGATTCATAGT